CTGATAAGAGCATAATGCTAAGGACCTGTCTTTTCCTGAAGACTGCCTGCCAAGGAGCTATAGGGTCAAAGTATTTTTTTCTGTTCAAGGATTAGTTGTCTGAAACAGTATTTATTTAGTATTAAGTAAATTTGTGAATCGCTGGATTCAGATCTTCTTGCAAAAAACAAATTGTTCTGACTTAAGTAATAGGAGTGAGTGATGCTGATCCCTTGTTAGTCCTGCGTCAGATACTGTGTGCACAGCTGCTGATATTCACATTTTAATCTTTAACACCTCTTCCTAGAAAGGAAACTTTATTATGTTAGCCAGAGGGTTCATGTTCATTGCCGTTGATGCAGAGTGTATGGCAAATGTTTAGAAAAGTAACATTCAGAAACCACTTGTTTTTTTGTCAGATGCAAACCTGGTGAAGAACAATACAGGCATTTTATTTTCTAGGGGCTAACTGATTGGTACATCTGCAAAGATCTGCCTTTTGTTCTTTCTTTTTTTACCGAACTCAATCCTCCTCCTTTCTCCTGACCCCTCACAATGCTTTCTAAAAGCGCCTGTGCCTCGAGTGCAGGTCTACTGCACTGTAAATTCAAACCCTTGACAGCAAGGGGCAAAAGACAATAATGGATCAAGACCCTTTCAGGACTGAACAGCTCCTGTTTCCTGAGCTAGCAATACTGTAATTATCAGTGTTTCCATTAGCTGCTTCCATGCCATTGACAGGCTTTTAGAGAGTGCACCATAAATTATAAGACTCCTAGCACTGTGTCACATAAATGGAAGCAGGAGGAGGGGCTGGAATATGTTATGAGATACTAAAGATGCAAGGGTAGCCAGGGAGACATTTAATAATACATGAAGCAGCAAGCTCTGTAAGTAGTCTTTTGAATTAGTGCTTTTTTAAATTGCTTTCCCTTTCTGTGTGCAGTCACGGACTGCAGCAGTTTCTAATGTAGCTACTGCTGTTGATTTGAAGTGGAAGTACAGCAGTACACACACCTTTTTACCTTGTGTTTCCCTGTAAATAGTATGTCACCATGAAGAAATCTAGAAGAACATCATGTTTCATTTTTTTATTTAAGCATTTTTTAAATAATTAATGACTTTGTCTTTTGTTTTTAATTTTTACGAATGGCAGTTGGTAAAATTAGATATCTAACCATAATATATTTTTCATGACTGTCTAAAATTTCACAGCAGGCCTCTATTTCCGGCCTTCTTCAAAACAAAATAAAAAGCTTTGTTTAGAAAGATGTTGTTTATGGACCTGTTCTCTGTGGTGTCATCAGGGCAAAAGGGAAATCATGACTAATGCAGCTGTCGAATGCTGGCTGGGACTGCAACCAACTGTTTTTTGAGCTGTGGACACAAAAAAAATGCACCAGTATATTACAGGAAGCTTTTTTTGCAGAAATATATCTTAGATGAGACTGATGTTAAACTAGAGACAAAGTCTGTCATTGAGGGCTCAGTTATAATCTCTGGATCTTCCTGGAATATGATAATTGGTTAATTCTTCTCCTGTTGAGATAGAAGTAATTATGGTGGTCTAGTTACTAAACAAGTAATGCTTTACAATTACACCAGTAAATGGTACCTGCAATCTACAGTATATACAGTACCTATAATACCAAAGCACTTTACAAATGAATATACTCAGTAAATGCTACCTGTAACCTATATCCCTCTAACACTTGAAATACTAGCTCTAACCTAATTTCCTATAATACCTATAGTAAAATACCTTAAAATACCTAACACTTGCAGTATTGTAAGTAACACTCTACCTGAATAAGCCTTAAAAACACCGTCCTAACTTCACAACAATAAAATAATCTGCAGTAAATGGTAGATTAAGATAATCTGTAAAATTTGATCAGATACAATCACTTTATTGACCATATACTGTACAATTTCTTTATTAGGAATTTGTCTTTTTGCATACCCCAACTTGCTGTTCATGACAGACACAGACAGGGAGAGAAGCTTGGGGTCAGAGCGCAGGGTCAGCCAATTATACGGCGCCCCTGGAGCAGTTGGGGTTAAGGGCCTTGCTCAGAGGACCAGAGGAGAAGAATTCCTCTGCCAGCCTAGGGATTTGAACTGGCAACCTTCCAGCCACAGGCGTAGATCCTTAGCCACAGAGCCACCGCAATTACCTCTATCTCGACAGTAGAAGAATTAACCAATTATCATATTCCACTAAATTAAAGATAATTTATTAGGTGCATTCTCAGTTGGTGGTTAGTCTGCAGTACAAGCCCTGGTGATCTAATCTACTGAACCATGGATAACTGTTCCTACTATCATGGACATAACCTAAATAATATTATTTTGCTGTGGACCCTGTGCAATCCCTGACTTTATTATGGAGTTTGTGTTTTTTCTTTTTCATAGATCAGTTTTTTATAATATTGCAAATATCCTAATGGAAATATGAAAAATAGAATGGAAAATGGTTTCCTGTTGCTGTTGGTCTTGAGCAACTGTGTGCATGGAAAAAGAAAAATGCTCTCCTCGAGTAGTTCAGCTCTGGCTTTACTCCCACCAAGTGGTTAAAAGCTGTCAATGCAGGAGTAAAAAATAAATGTTATAAAGAATTCAAGTAAAATGTATTTTCCAGACTAGTACATGGAATCTATCAGTTTTACATGTACTTGTGCATGAGAAACCAAGACTGCAAATAAGAGGTAGTCAGGTAGTGTAACAGTTAAGAGTCTAATATTAATTTGATAAGAGACATAATCAAATCTGTCAAATTAAATATCACATCATAGTGTTACGATGACAACACTATTTTTAGTATTATGAATTGCTTGCTTTAAGAATTTTACCATGTTAATCAAACCCTTACTTTCAGAATCTATGCTGACTCATTGAATGCTATTGTTGTAGTAGCATTCTTTAAATATTGCTCCATGAATTTTTCAATAACATCACCATTAACACAGAGCTCTGGTTGTTCTATAGTTTACTGTTTTGTGCCCCTTTTGAATTGTGTTGCATTTTCTATTCTCCAATCTTTGCGTACCACTCCCATGCCACAGGAGAGTTTAAAATATTCTAGATCCTAGAGGAATACCATTCCTCATTTAATGCAGTGGGTATTTCAAGATAGGAAAAGACCATCAGGCTGTGGCAAGTTCTTAGCTATCATAGCTGCTGTAAAAGCTCAGTGTTATTTAAGTTAACAGTACCCAATACAGACGGACTACTCTTTCTATAATATTGTGCAAGCTAATGGAGTCTTCTCTTGCTAAAAAATATTTATTGTATGAAATATTTTGCAAGTTAAATGTTTACTGTTTCTTTGTTACCTTCTGTTATTACTCCTCTGTTATTTAATTCTGCCTTTATTGTTGTTATACCGCTGTACTGCTAAAGGAATGCTTTGCTTCATAGGTTGCTTGTGTAACAATACTGTTCTCAGTCTCTTGGAATTTCTAATGTCTTTCTTCAGCTGTGCATGTACAGTACATCTGTACAATATACTCTTTTGTATCTTTGAATCTTGGGCCCCGTTATATACTGTACTGTAGTACATTTTCTTCCTACTGAATTGGTTTTTAAAATTCTCTGTCATATATTTCTTGACTTTTTAGTGATTATTTTATTTTCCTGAGTCTTAAGTAATACAAATATGTAAGAGTCAATTAACATATTTAGATATGGAAATATTTTTCATAAAAACACCATTAGCAGAAATACTGTGAGTCTTTTCGACATTCAAATTCTATCTCCAACGTTCTCCAAAAATATATTTCTAGACAATGTTAAAATATTCCCACAGCAGCATTCCATTCTTTGGTTTCATTGCTCTCACTTATCTTAAACTTCCACAAGTTCTTTCCACAAGGGTTTGACAAGTGAGAGACCTGGGGCAGCCAGAATACTGTATATTTTACAAGATACCTGTACTCTGTGTCATCTTGCATCTTTTTCTTCTTTCAGACATCCATATTTTTAAAAATATTAAAATTACAGTCATCTGTTTTTCTTGTAAAGTACATCTTATTTTTATTTAACTTCTACTTATTTCTTTTTATGTGTTTGATAATGCAGTGCTGAGAAAAATGTGTGAAGTCCAAATATAATTGTGGTAATTACAGTTTATAATCATGATGTAAGAAATAAATAAGGACTGAGTTTGGACAGCCCTGTATAATGGTCATAATCTTTGTGGATTTGTTGTTCACTATACGGGATAGTGGTTTCACACGACATTGGAAAGAGAGAAGTTGTTGCTTGTCAGTCTGGAGATGGTTACAAAACCTTACCTTATCATTTTGAGCCCCATCATTGACTGACAATCTACAAATTAAAAACATCCCAGAGTACAGTGACTGTCTACAACAGGTCATCCTGCTTTAATCTTCCCAGGAATTACTAGGAAAATCATCTAGGAAGTCACAAAACCCCCCTCAGTAACATCTAAGGATCTGAAGGCCTCTCTCACTGTGGGTGTCAGTGTTCCAACCTCAACCATCAGGAAAAAAATGACCGAATGCTTTTCATGGGAAAATCGCCAGGAAGAAACCATTGCTCTCTAAAAAGAACATTTCCATCGTCTCAAGTTACAAATGTAGTTGTTTTTGTTTTACCTCTGTGTAATACTCTGTACTTGTCTACATCAAATGCCATTTAAAAGGAGGAATTTTCCCAGTCTAGAAGATTATATTAATCCTATTGAATTCCATTAGCTCTTCCTATTTTGTTTGCTAGTCCTCTTATTTTGGTATTGTTTCCGAACTTAACTGCTCTACCAGCAATACTAGAATTGTGTCACTAATATACAGTAAATTAATGAGAGCCATGCCCCTCAAACAGATCCTTTCTGCTGATGGTGTTCCTATAGATTTTTTCACAATCTATGCGGGAAAGTTAAGGTCTCCCATAACAACTGCTTCTCCTTGTGCTCATGTAGAGTATTCTTAATTTCGTACAGTGTTCTCAATGTTAAGATCTTGATTCTTCATGTACTGACTGACCTGTGTTTCCTTCAGATCACCCCAGCAGAAGGTCTGGTGTCCATCCTGAAGCGGCGGAGCTCCCTGGACGGAGCACAGCAACCTTCACAGCCTCACAGACAGGTACCCAAACGCAAAGTGAGGTTCAAAGAGCCAGATGACTGTCTTGACCCAGGTAAGTGTGGTTGTGACACTGCAGAATGTGCATCTGTTAGTCTCAAACTTTCATTGTTTGTAAAACAATAAAATAACATGATTGTTATTTGTTTTGGGCTGCATGTTAAATTGTTTTTAAAAAATGTCAACCATGTTTACCATATACCATACAATAGTAAAAATTATATTTATATTACGGAATATATACCGTAAGCCTTTAATAATTTTTTTTAAAAAAAATTAAATAAATTTTGTCCTGAGGGTGACACTGTGGCACAGTGGTTAACAGTGCATCCTCGTATTGCTGAGGGCCTTGCTTCAATTCCAGACCTGGAAGTTGTATGTGGAGTCTGTATATTCTTCTGTGGCTCACCTGGGTGCTCCTCCTGGTTTCCTCCCAAAGTCCAAACATATACTGGTACAGTAGGTTAATTGGCCTCTGGCAAAACTTGGAATTAGTGTCAGTGTGTGCATTTGTGTCTGCAATGGACTGGTGTGACATCCAGTCACAGGGTGTGACAGGGTGTGCCCTGTCAAATCACTCATTCGTACATCCGCTTTGGACTTTTGTGTGGTAAATGTTTCTATAACCAATATTGCTTAAGCATTTGTTTGCAATTTACAACATTTGACATTTGAAATAGCTTCTTTGCATCTACTTTGTACTAGCTGAATGTTAAGATTTTTAATAACTTCTTTCTTGTTATGATTTATTATTCCTGCAAACACATTTAAACTTTTTAAAGCAAAAAATAAGGATAAAAGAGCCGTGAACCTTTGCCCAAGGATGTCAAACCCTTTCCAGGGTTATTTTTCAGCTCTGTCTACTATATAGTATTGTAGGCCACACAGAAAATGAACAGCAATTCAATACGTTTCACATGTAACATGACAGTGACGGTCTGTGCCTCTGCAGATGATGTTGGAGGGGACTCCTGTCTGCTGCTCTTCCTACTGTGCCTTGTGACGGTTGTTATTAGTGTGGGCGGCACCGCTTTCTACTGCGCCTTCGGAGACGTGGAATCCACGGTGTGCACAGACTTCGCCCAAAATGTGGATTTCTATTTCAGCCAGATGCAGCACGGAGTGGACGAACTGAAACACTGGCTCTCCCCTGGCTCATAGCAAAGCAGGACTCGAGGCACAATTTTTTGTGCGTCTTAATTATTCCTCTATCTCTCTATTTCCCTCCCTGATAAAATCATGACACCGTGTCTGTTTAAGGATCCATACCAGTGCATTTTTTCAGCACAGTGAAGAACAGAGGTCAGTCTTCTGTCCTGTGTTACTGGGCAGTAGTCTGTCTAGATCACTCTGTTATTGGCCGAACTGATAAGCACCTGTTACTGCCTCAAAAGCGCAGAGATCCCATGAATTCAGTGACTAAAGAGTGCTTGGCTTACATTCGAAAGCTGGTTGCCTCTTTTGCATTTTTGATTTCCAGTGTACGCTAGTGTTACATTGGTCAACACTTTAGTGCTGAAGGCACACACCTGCTGGGCAGCTGACAGCTGGAAATTGCAGCACCAGGTGAAAACCTGTGCTGGATCCTTTCTGAAATGGAAAGAACTCAAACAGTCATACTGCCAGGGTGGAGAGCTGGGGTAAAGGCATTTAAGATTATAATAATATATTGTAAATGTTTAGTTTAAAACATAAGTCTTATCTTTTTAACAATGAAATTAATTTTGTACATTGTGAATTTCTTCACATATTTGTGTTTCTCTCAGGAGGTGAAGATACACAGTGGCATTATCTTACTTTTGAAATGATGAGTAGCCTCCAGGTAGCAATGGTCTGCGAGGCCATGATGAAAAGTCAATATTATCACAGTATGGGACAGGAAAGCAATATGTTAAACAATTGCAAACTTATTCTTCTTTTGTAGACTATAGACTCTCATCAGCTGGACAGCAGAGTATGATTACTTGTTGGTAAAACAATACCAAATGCTCAGGCTTCTGAGTCTTGCTGTTATTGCCACTTCTTAGTTTGGTGCGCTGATTTCATTTTAAATTGTTTTAAGCTTTTTATTTTACAGTACTGTCTTACACAAGGAAATGCACTGTTTCTTCAGGGTACATAACACAGAACATATGTCGAAAAAAAGACCTTTCATATTACATGTTCTCTTTAATTTTACAAGGCTTATCAAAAAGAGCAAAGGACTTTTACTGTAATAGTCAGCAAATACAGTACAAACTCATTATTACAGACAGAACTGCTGGGTCCCTAGCAGGGGCTATATTAAATGTTGAGGGGGTTTTATAGGAGATTTTTTTTGCTTATGTTGTAAGTGTCTCTGGCTGGATCAGATGACACACTTCTTCATAATGTGTGGATTGATCTATTTATTTAGTGTAAGAAAATTAAAATGCTAATGGAACATTTTTACGTCAAAATCTGTATTGATGTGCATGTTCATTTCTTGAACTGTTTGAACCTGAAGTGGTTACTGTGTTTTGGGGGCCTTTCCCTTTGTGTTTAATGTTCCAGATTTTATACAGTATGTTATTTTAAGACGAAGAATAGAAACCGACATGGGCTTGTCTAAAATGCCCACCACTGAAAGAAGATTTCAGTTTTAATATTGTTAAAAGTCAGCGTTGCACCACTGTTTTGTTTTTGAAACTTTTAGCTCTCCAGTGTAAATCATATACTGACAGCATATGCATCACCTCACTTTAACGTGTTGTCCAGATTTTAAAAAAGATGTTGTATTGTAAATAATGCAAAGGGAACATAAATGAATTGGTTACTATGAAAATGTGTGGGTAATTATTTTGTGTATTATTGTTGTTTTCTTTCATGAAGTGGAGAAAGATTATAATTGAATTGCAAAGATGAATTTATAGTGCTCTTTTGAATCTGGCCATTGTCCTGGGGTAGCATTCTTGCACTCCTGAAGACGACAGTGTTGACAGAGTCTCCAGTAAACTGAGCTTCTGAGATTCATATCCACATGCTCCATCTTCAGTCCTCTTTCTGCAATAATGAACCACGTATGATTTTATTTGTTACATACTTTGTGAAATGGTGACTCCATTCACCATGGCTATTTTATTTGTACTTTTTAAAAAGAACTTGGATTTGCCAGTTACAGTATGTTTCTGTTTTACACCTATCCAATTTGAAATTGTTGAACATTATTGTCTTACTTGCTATGGCTCCTCTGAAAAGCCCACCCGTCCCTCATTCAACACACTACCTGACAACAGTGTTAGCTCAAGCTGAAAGAGTGGGGTGCATCTCCACCGTCTTACAGGCTCCTGACAGATGCAAAGAGTTGCTGTTCTGCCAGACCATGGCAGTGTTCAAACAGCTGGGAACCCCAATCACAATAAGCCCTGGTTCTTAGGTGCAGTGTCTACACCTTCACTGGCTGAACCACTCATGGGCCCATTTAATTACATGAAGAACAGTTACCAGACCTCTAGTTAAAACTTCTTGGCAAATTAGTCTTCAAATGTCAGCATGAGTATGGCCAGAGAAGGAAGCCATAAGTATGGTAGCAATCATTTAAACTTTAATTTGTAGTGGATCTCTGGTGGGGAGCGAATGCTAAAGTACTGTTTGGAAAGTTATTTTTGACTTTCTGCTATTTCTGCTAATTAGTCATCAGGAATCTGGAGACTGCACGGAATAATGAGTTGACATCAAACTTGATAAAAGAGGTATCAGACTTGATAAAACAAATGGAAATGAAATTAAACTGAGCCAAACATTTTCATGATCTGAAATGTAGAATTCTGTACTTAATAAAGAGAGCTCTACAGTAACCGTTCTCAAAGATCTAAACAAAACGAATTGCCGTGTATTAAAATGATTGAGAAATGTAATAAATATTTATAACTTTTGCTCAGAAATGTAAGTCTATGTCTATATTGACGAATATGTAAGTAGGGTGGTGGTGGTTAGAGTTGATATGAATTGAGCTAATGGGTGTATTACTATCCAAAACAAATTCAGAATTCAGCGGAGATAGACAGAGCCTGAAGTTTGTTAGTATGGAAGCAAGCAGTAAATCTCCATGCTCAAGTTGCCCATTTTGATGCTGTCATGTTCACTATTAAATCTGAAAGAGTAAAATCTTTTTATATAGATGTTTACATGTAAAAGTAGACTCATCAGATCCGTGACTGATGTGTATCATCCACCTGGGTGACACAACAGCCATTATTCACCAGCTGAATTAAGGGGAAACTTTAGGAAGGTCAGATTGTAAAAACCCAGAGTTCAATTGTATCCAGGACACTGGAATTAAGAGACCTACTCTTATGAACAGTGTCATGGGATCTTTAATATTCAAATAGTCAGGACCTTGGTTTAATTTATTTTCTGAAGAACATTGCCTTCACTTTTTATTACAGCAATTGTTCCCTGGGAATTGCTCAATCCTTCCCATCCCAGGATTGAGCAATTCCAGCCTTGTTTAGCTTCTCAGGTCAGACTGAAAGGTAGTGCTGTTATTTTTAAATGATGATTTGTAAACTTCCTGCAAAATCCAGATGAGGTTCCATGATCAGAAACAGTCCTGTCTTGGTTAGTATTTAAAGAACAATATGTAATATGCTGTTTTTTTAATGAACATGAAATTACATTATTGGCCAATTTGCTAAAAAAATTGACATTCCATGTCACAGCATTAAATGAATTAATGTTCTGTGAAGTTAGTCCATTACCTATAGCCTGAGTTATGCTTTGTGTTTTTTTTTCTATTTAATATGTATCAGGAATTTTGCATGTTTGAATGCAATTTGAACATAAGCAGTTTCTTTATAGCCACTGATAAAGTAATGGAATTATTTTCTGGAAGGATGGGCTGGTGACACATCTCAAGTCACTGCACAATCTTTGCAAATTAAAAAACTCTACGAGTTCCCACTGACTTTTGCAGCTCTGCAAAAACTGTATACTGTATATTTCAGTGTAACTACAACAAAAACTTTGTTACGTAAAGACTATGTTTAAACTGTTACTCATGATCGAAAGGTATAATCAACATTAACTATCATTCTGTTAAATCTGCTAAAGATTGCCTTTATTACATTACTGTCCCATATATAGATTAAACAATTCCCTTGTGCTTCTTACACAGGGAATTATTAATGTTGCAGAACTATGGAGGCCAGTAGCCCTTTTCCCCCAAAACATGCTTACAGTAAGTCTCTTAATGTACAGAAAAATAGAGAGTCGTGAATGGCTGAATGAATGTCAAGTTATCCTGAAAATAGACCAGTCAGGAGACCTTACTTAAGTATTCCTCCAAACCACTGAAGACACTGACACTGTCAAACCGGCTGACACTTCAGACTCAGCAGTGCAGCACGAACCAGAGGGCATCAAGAGAAGCAACAGGGAAGTTCCTTTAAACCGTGGACAGCAGGCACAGCCTTTTGTCTTTACAGGAGGAGATGTGGATCAAGCTGCTCAGCCATGACGTCTTTGAAGAAACAGCTGGATGAAACTCTAGAGTCTGTTCGCTACTAGCAAGCTACAGTACACGAGTTGCGTGACCTCTTGTTTGAAACATTTCCTATGCTTTCATATTCTTAGATTCATCTGTTCTTATTGTTTGTATTTTCTCCCCTTAGCAATCATTAAACTGAATTTTAAAGAACAAAAGTCTTAGCCAAGTGATTGAAATGAGCAGTCAGGTCATTGTCTTTATTATCTCTAATGTTGCTTGTTCATTGATCTATCAGCCTGCACCTGTCATTCGTTCACCATCTGTTCTCGTGTCTGCTCTTGAAATTAAAACAGAAGCTTTTATCCAGAAATATCGGCATCTTATTCACATCTGCTAGAGATGAAATTACTTCTGAAGTTCTGGAGTTGGTGCTCTTTTGTTGTCAATCCCCTTTCCAGAAGGGCACCAGAGAATGCAAATATCACAGATTTTAAGAGGGGGTTTGTTTTTTTTAAAGATTAATCTAATGCACTATTCCCAATAAAACCATCATGAGACATTATCTCCTTGCTAGGAGAAGAGACCCAGTCACATAATAATTAAAAGTTATTTTATTTATTCTGAACCATATATTTGAATATACCGGATTTTAATAATAATAATAATAATTGCTTACACTTACTGTATATAGCACTTTTCTGGACACTCCACTCCACTTACATTTTATGTAAGACATTCATGTTATGCATGTTTATAATTTTTGTTTCCAACAAAATGCTGTAGAGGCAAAAGCTTGAATCGTAAGATATATTTTCTTATCGGTCACCTTATCGATTGCCTTTCAGTTCCAGGTTTTGATATGAAACTTTATTAAAACTAGCTTGTAAGAGCTAAAAAAGTCACAAAATTTTTGTTACATCAGCAGAACTCGTTTTTTTTTCTCGTCTGTCTAGTACTGTACTGAAGATTTTTCACCCAAAAAAATGTGATTCCAGTTTTTCGGAAGCTACTCCTTTGCGACCACATAACGACAGTACAATAGAGTAAAAAGCTTCAGGAATTGTTAATGATATCCTTATACCAACTCTATTTTACCTTTTACTGTAAATGATTTATAATAATCAACCACTAATTTTAAAACTGATTGTAAACACTGCTCACGATTAACAATTAAGATAATTAACCTTGCACTTTATTATTACACTGTGTTTAGGATCCAAGGCATGCAAGCAGACAGAAAATTCCCTTTTATGTCAGTCGAACGCAGTAAAAAAGCTGTCCCTTATTTGAAAAACGCCAGAGAAAGGCTGCTTTATTATCGTCCACCCAAGATACAAAAATCACCAAGTCATTGTTAAAGAAAATGTAATTTTTGTAACATGCGCTAGGTGTCTCTGGTGTAATTTGTGCTTGGGCCAGCTGGCAGGCGTGACGCTAAAGCGGAGAAAGACAGCTGATGACAGCCCAGCCAACCGAATTCATAAGAGGCAGCAGCACGGAAGCGAGCCGCTCCTTGTTCCCCACTTTAAGTTGGGAAGCTGTTTTCCAGGGTGGACGTGCAGGATTCGTCACCATGGCGACGTCTAGCTCCAGCACCAGGCCTTACGAAATTATTGTCTTTGGCGCTTCAGGGTTCACTGGACAGTTCGTAGCAGAAGAAGTTGCTCGGACCTCAGCCGAAGGACCGAAGGGGACTCTGAAATGGGCCGTCGCGGGGAGATGCCGCCAGAAGCTGGAAAAAGTTCTGGATCAGGTCGCGGAGACGCTTAGTAAGTACTTGTGCAGGCCGGCCACGAATTCTGCAGGACAAAAAGAGCCTGATTTGTAAAAGAAGCTGTGAAAGGATGGGGTATCAGGCGAGAACAACGTTAGATGTGTAGCTGCCAAAGACAATGACATGCCATATTAACATTATCAGGCACGGTGGTCTTCGTTTTAATTGTGTTTCTCAAAGGTATTTCCGTGTTCGCTTTGGGCGATTTTGAACTGGTTTTGCAGAGCAGATTTCTGTGGCGTAGTTTGCTACAATTTGGGGCATCGCGGTGGTTGTACCTGAACATGTGAGAAACTCTTGCCCGCCTCCATACTACATTCTGCTCCTCAAGAAAAAGCTACATTGTATGTTGTTAATTTGAAGTAGTGCAGGTATGCAGATACAAGTATTTGTAGATCACTGCAACTGTTACAAGCCTCTCTTTGGTGTCCCAGACTTTGTTCATTTGGAGTTGTTACGCAGAATCAAGTATATAAGACAGTCATAAATCTTTTGCTTTTTATGTTCATGAATGTGAGTGACCTGAGTAATATTTTCCAATGGGGATTATCATCGAGGCAGAAAAATGTTTCCTCCGTGCTTGCTGTTCTCTGAGGTAGCAGCTGCGTGGAAAATATCCAGTGAAATGACAATGTGGGATTACGTTCTTTAACCTTGGTAATGTCAATCGACTGCCATGACTAAATCTCGACTCACGGTATAATTTGCCAACAATTTCGTGATCATTTTTAGATTGTGATGAATGCATTCATTGCCCCCGTTATAAATAGACGAGCCTCTTCAGCATGAATAATAAAGGTTTCCATTAGAAAGAATCAATCTTGAACTTAAGTCTCTTGTTACTTACCACCAACAGTAGACTGCGTTATTTAAGACTGCAGTGAAGATTTTTTCCTTTAATATTAAAAGACAAACAAACGTTGATTAAAGGAGATCAGCCATTGTATCATTGTCATAATTTATTAACAGATGCCGTTACCCATAGCAATTTCGTGTTCTGTTCCAAGTTAAACACTAAGTTCTACATAAAGTATAGGTAGAATATAAGCAATACATAAGATCTTACTCAAACATTTAAACACAAGTTTAAATAGCAAGAAGACTTGATATTTTGCCTGAAATTGAATTAACATTTTTGGCATTTCTACATTTAAAATGACCTTTGATTAAACACTGTTATCACACTCAGGAATTTGTGTGTACTGTGTTGCTCTGCAAAAGCAGTAGAGAGTAGTTGGGTTTTTGGACTTCAGACTGAAATTTGTGCATTTGTGCACGTCTTCACTATACAGTAGGAACTTTATCCCGATTGCTCAAGTCTGCCTAACTGCCAGGTGTTTTATGGTCAACCCCCCCCAGTACAGACACTAGCAGAAAATTCAGCCTGACAAGGCTTCAGTGGGGAGTTTATTTGGCTGCACTACCAATATGTTGTTGAAATCAACTCTTAAAGTGACAGAAAGCATATACTTCTATATAATGTATTGACTACCTCTAAATTTTGTATGTGTCATACTAATCTGTAATCAAAAATACATGAAAACTCCCAAACCTAAGAGTTTTAAGATGACATTGAGATGCCATCAGTTTAATTTAAATACACTGTAATTGCCAGGTGGCAAAATGCAGATAAGAGTGGCATTCTTTGCATGGTGGAATTAATCCATGTGGGGTTTTAATGACCTGCATGCTGTTTTAGACCTATAAACCAGAATGGGTGCTTGATATTTCACTCAGGGATCCAGCTACCTAAGGTCCTCCTCTGTTGTGGACCACTTAGGTTAAAAATGTGGTCCACAGCAAGAAAACAATGCAGTCAGTTATGTTTCTTAAGGTTATAGCAATGGTCTCCACACACTGGGAGTAGTGAAACATGCCTGTAGGAAGTACTGTTCTTCGAATGAGATGTTAAACTGAACTCCCGTGTCCTTAGTACTTGTAGATCTCAAGGCATGTTTTGTAAAAGTAAGGGTGTTAACCCAGAATAATTAATCTATTGAAGCAATTTCTCTCTTAGTGCTTTGCTCTGTAGTGGGGTTGTTCACCATGAATTAATGAATTTCCTAAGTGTAATAATAACAAAGGTATTTTTCTAATGATGGCTACCAGGAGGGTACTGCACCTTTTGAGGGGATTTGAACTTAGAAGCATTCAGTCATTAGCTCTAAATTTTGTACATGTCATATTCATCTCCAAAATTAAAAATACTGTATATGGAAACACAGAAAACAGTGTCCCAGGAGACCATTGCTTTAATTTAGATTGAATTGCTATGGCATGGGACCATTGGAGCCTCAGCCAAGCACAGATACCAGATGTCTGAACCTGAGGGTCCATCTAAACTGAGAGGGATTATATTTACAGTGCTTTGGGGCCTGATGTGACGAAAAGCAGTACATAAATAAAATGATTAATGTTAAGGAGATGCATAGAAACAGATTTGTGTAGTTCTAACAAACGTTTTGATCTGTACATTTCCAGTAGTGGAAGTTGATCAAATATCTGTGCAGTGGGTGTGTCTAGTTTTAAGACAAAAGAGTGAATTTTTAAAATAGTCTGAATAATTACAAAGATGCTTTTTATTAAGACCCTGATGGGATGAGGATATAGGTGAAACTTTTTCATTGTTGTTTTTCTAATATGTTAATAAAAAAGGCTGGAATGAATTCATGCTCTGTGTTTTTTCCAGGTAAGCCAGAGTTAAAGTCAGAAGTGGATATAATAATTGCAGATGTTGGTGAGCCAGACTCCTTAGCTGCTATGTGCAAACAGGGAGTCATTGTTCTCAACTGTGTGGGACCAGTAAGTACACAATACGTTTGTTTGTAGCAAACTCAATGGTAGGAGGCATTCATGGAAAACATATCCTGTTACTTGACAGCAGCTATTTTCTATGAGAGTAATTGAACAGTTACCATTGCCTCTTGGTACAGTCTGACTCTGAGAATTTGAGATCTTCATTTTGCAATGTCAATGAATTTCAAGTTTCAGAAGGCAACTTGGTTCAGTTTAAGATTTGATTTAAAGTTTGGTAAAGTTATTTGCTGTAAAAATAGAAATAGTAGGCTTATCAAAGTAACACATGTCACTTTGGACAATTACTAACAGTAGTTACTACTGGCATTGAAACATAAGGGCATAAATCATAGACAGTACACAATAATTGCCTCCAGCACATTTGGCAGTGCTATCCAGCACATACCAATTTCTCTTATCATATGTTGCAACTAACATAACCACTGTTGACCTTTGGTATTGTTGCTATATCAGGTTTTGAAGAATGTTGTTTAGTTATTTCCTTTTTATTTTCTAAATGCTTTGAGAGAACATGATGTAATAGCAATTCATTTTGATTTTTAAACTGCAAGTGCACATAGAAATTGGGGAAACTAATACAAAACTACTTATGTGAAAACTATTTTAAATACTTTGTACTTTTAATGTTGTGTCTAAAAAAAAGAAGGCATACAAAAATTAAATTCCTGAAATAACATTATATTATGCAAGGTAAAAATATTATTGGGTCATTGCACTATGATCATTGTGTATGATCAATAGATGAGAAATACTGTACATGTAATGTACACAGTAATTTACAGACAAATGGTAAGAGCACTGAATACATGATTATGAGATATTAATGAGATGTTGAATCTATATTCCTTCTAAGAATCATGTTTTGCAAGCCTAAGTACACATTATTGAAAGTTTTATTTCCCTTATGTATCCTCTAGCTGTTGTACACAATTATGGTAATGACTTTAGAGCACTGTTTGTAAAATGAGTTTGGACTTCATAACATTGGGTAACATTTTAAATAAAATGTCCTCATCAGTACAGGTTTTATGGTGAGCCTGTGGTTAAGGCCTGTGTTGAAAATGGAGCCCACTGTATTGACATATGCGGAGAACCTCAGGTAGGTCTCATTGATTTTGAATTTTTTTTTTCAAGCATGAAATCCCAGCTTTTTGTAGAGGGTGATGGCAGACAAATGAGCTGCTTTTGACTGGTCAGGTTATCATGTAGAGAGTTTTTAACACAATAAGCAGATGTGTGTGTGTGTATATACCAAATGATATATTTATAGATGTAAGGAAATGGCCTCCGGAATTATTTCCAATAATTCTCAAATCTAGACATAAATAACATTTTGATTATAGAGAGGTTTATTTTAGATATCCCCAATTCATTTCCATGTACCCTTATAAGAATTTGACACGCCTTCAAACTGAGCTGAATGATTCTTCAGAATGCTTTATCAGTATCTTTGCCTCCATTTTACATGTGATTAAAGAAAGTAAGGGTATCTAAAGATCTCCTGAAATGCCGATACAGATAATTTAAATAGCAGCTTTAAAAGTAGCATTTCAAAGTATATAACAGTAGGTGTAAAAATAGTGGTAAGAACAGGATATTGAATAAGAATATACCTGTTACTAACACAAGTGGAAAGAGGTGCAGCACTAGATACATAGTCATTAGAAAAGGGCGCAGCAATAGACACTGATTAAATAAAAGCCTTTCTGAAAAGAGAGGTTTTGAATCAACTGTAGATTTCTGCATTCATGATAGGTGATTCTCCAATATCCTTTAGGATAGAGCAAAAGAAGGCCCCATCACCCGTAGAATGTAAATGAGCTTGTGGGACATACATTATAAAGATCAAATGTCAAATGAACAAAGCTTACGGGGTGGGGAATTGTTGGATACTAATTCAGATAGGTACCGAGGTGCCAGGCCATGTAGAGCCTTATAGGTGAGTGTGAGGATTTTGAAGTCGACTTGAAATCTGATAGGAAGCCGGTGCAAATACTCCAAGACAAGCATAAAATGATCTCTTTATTGTGAGTTAGTATTCTAAACATATTGGAGTTTGTTTTGTATGGATGAAATAATCCAGTGAGTAGGGTATTGCAGTAATAAAATCAAGAATTGTTGACCAGCTTTTCTGCTGCAGTCAAGAGACAACATAGGACATAGTTTGGCAACATTTATGAGATGGAAGAATAACACTTTTACAATATTCATGTGCATGATGTCAAGCCAGGATATCAAATAGCAAATATTGCCCCTAAATTCTTCAGTTTTGATTGAAATTCAACCACAGTGCATTCCACAGACCGGATTTACAGTACGAGTGGCATGATCTCAGTTTAAGTGAATGAAACTGAGTCATCATCATCCATCTTTTTAAATCAGAGATGCAATTAAGGAGAGCTGAAAAAGCAACTGTCAGGTTTAGTTTGGACATAGATTTGATTACCAGCAACATTGCATTCAGACCATGTGATTTTAATATCTGACCAAGCGGGAACATGTAAATGCCAAACAGGGGACCCATTATCGAGCCTTGGGGGACACCAGTCTTAATGATCCCAGCTTCAGAACTAAAACCAGTGTCAAAGGCAGCCCTTAGGTCTAGGAGAATTAGGATAGAGACCCAGAATCAGCAGTCATGCCTATAAGCAGATTGTTATTACTTTAACTTTAATAAAAACAGTTTCTGTGCTGTGTAATTGTCTGAAACCAGATTGGAAGTGTTTAAATATGTTATGTGTAATGAGCTGATCATTAAATTGTAACGGCACATTCTAAAATTTTCACAAAAAAAGGCGGTTAGATATATGATGAAAATGGTTTAGGTTGTCCATAGCCATGTTTGGTTTTTAGGCACAGACATAACTGAAACAAATTTAAAGGCCTTTGGATTGTAACTGGGTGTTCCAGTTCCCTTAAACCACACTCGAATAATCAGAAGGTTAATTGGTGTCTCCAGATTTTCTCTTTGGCTTGATTTCCTTTGTGCTCAACACCTAAGGGTCATTCCATGCCAACTCAACCTACTGGATCCAAAAACACACAAAGTTTGAATAGCAAATTCTGAGATACTGGTCTGATACAATGTACATTTTCTGGTTGACCCTATGTATTTTTAATGGGAGCTAACAAGATGCCCTAACTTTGTAGTCGGGACGAGGAACATATGAAGGTTTACAAACAATTTGAGGACATTTTGCCCATGTAGGTTGTTTGGGTTTTAATAGTTCGTCATCCAGCTGTTTCTTGAAAGAACCCAGGCTATAGACTTTGACAGCATGGTTGGGTCACTTGTTCCAGACACCTAAATGCAGAATAAATGTTTTTTTTTTTAGTTCCTGGAAGGAATGCAGCTGAATTACAACAAGGAGGCAGCTGAGAAGGGGGTTTATATAATTGGGAGCTGTGGTTTTGACTCCATTCCTGCTGACATGGGAGTACTCTACACTAGAGACCAATTTAAAGGTACTTTACTGTCTATGCATTCTTTGCATTTCAATATTTCCTTTGCTTATCAATTTCCTTGGAATACAGTATATGGTCTCCGAGTTGGGGGAGATGTAAATAAGAGCATTGGTATTTAATTTTTCAGTTTATGTATGAAGATGTTTCAGTTAATGAGGCATTGCTGTTTCCCCTAAAGCTGACTTTCACATGTTCATATTTCAAATAAAAAATTAAAGCTAAGCGATAAGATGCAATTTAGAGATACAAATTTATAGACATTCACATGATGTGAGCTTTAAAGAAATAGTCAAAGGAAAACTCTGATTCCATGAGCCTGATAAAGTTTGTAAAGAATTACCTTTTTATTCTGCGGTAGCCAAAATGTTTAACAACATTTTCAGAAATTCGGATGAATGGTGTTATTGTGGACAAGTTGAACTCTTAATAAATTCCCTTTGAATGCTTTAAAACTTTATGATGGTAGCTAGAGATTGACAAACTTTAGCTCTTGTACACAAATCGTTTCATGTGCATTAAAAATGGTAGAATCAAGTAAGTATGGTCACATGTAATAAAAGAGCAATTGAAGACTTGAATATGTATAACGGCCATGTAAAATGCACTTATCAGTCATTCCAATCACAATTTCACAAAAAAATGTAGGCTATTCATTGCTCTGTATATGGGTTTTTTTCCATAAGTAAATCATTCACCAGAAATTAATTCAATTCATTTTTAACAGTGATTACTTAAACTATCATAATTGTGATTCTTGTACACTAGAAATGTTTGAAATAGTATTGTTGGGATGCCTCATTCGGCCACTGGCAAAAACCATACATTGCACTGAAATACACATTAAACATGCTTTGGGATTAGTGATCAACATCACCTGTAACTTCTGCTACATGGCTTGATGTGGCAAAATTATCTCAATAGATGTCATGTACTTGATTCTGTTTCTTATACATTTAAATAGACATGATATGAAGAAATTAACACCATAAACAATAACCATTAAAGAGAAGAAAGGATAACAAACACTGAAGTAAATTGCTTAAAAAGCGACTGCAGTTGGTTACATTGATCATTTAATAACAGACTTGATATTCCATTAATTAGATTTAAAACCTATACTTTGTTTTTATGTACATATAAAACTATATTGTGACATACAGGTTAAATGTTTGTTTCATTTACATATTTAATTTGTATTTTCAGGAACACTGACAGCCATTGAAAGTTTCTTGACTGTGCACACTGGACCTGAGGTACATTATGTACTGTTTGTTTTGAGGATTTTCGTTCTCCGATACCATACATTGTTCCAAAGCATAGTGGCCTTTTTTCTGTTAAAGTGATTTCAACATGCTTTTCCTTTATTATTATAATGTTTGCCTTTCCTAACCCTCCTCACGAATTGCAACAGTGAGGTTAAAAATAAATCTTCCAGTTACCCTAATTATGGAATTTTCGTTGTCGTGCAGTAGATAAGCTATGACAACATTGGTGATAGAGATGATTTTGATAAATATTTTTGTTTTTATTGAAGGGGGCTTGTGTTCATGATGGTACCTGGCAATCTGCGGTCTATGGCTTTGCTGATAGTGCGAAGTTACGGTCTCTGAGAAGGAAGTTTGGTTACAAACCCCTTCCAGTTGTTGGGTCTAAAATCAAAAAGAGGTATAGGCATGTTTTATGGTTACTGCATGACTTTCAAAGTTTTTGGTCAAATGCAACATAGATCTGCTTTTTTTACTTGAAATATAATACAGCTGAAA